CTTCCTAGCCTCGGGAGACCATTTCATCCGCGTTCCGAAACAAGGCGAATCCAGGGTCCGAAACGAGACGAATCCAGGTTCCGAAACGAGACGAATCCAGGTTCCGAAACGAGGCGTCGGCCCTCAAAGATTGGGTCCTGAGGACGACCGAACCAGTCGGTCCTTAAGATTCAGTCCGGATGGTCGACTAATCACCGAAGATGGATCGGATGAACAGCGAATCCCTGGAACTCCCAGCAAAACGGCAAGTGGATGACTTTCCAAAACGGCCTTTGTAAAGGAACACGGCCTTTCCAGAACAGAGGCCATGTGATCCACTTCCATGTTAGTTTCCATGCAGGAAGAGTATATAACTGCATGGTTAATAGAATATATTGAAGAATCAAACTCGGACATTGCACTGCTGCCAAGAAGTCTGCACTCGTCCATTGACCGACTGAGTCGGTCGGTGTTCGGACAACGACCTACCTGCGTTCGGTACGATGCGTCGGAAGGAAAATGCTTCCTCTAGGCCCTTCCACATAGGCGGGGGAACAGAGGAGATCTATGTAGCACAAAACGTGTATGAGACAGAAACGAGCGACCACCTCCAAGTACACCCGGTCTAAGACAAGGACTGTACCGGAGGCCCCAAGGTCGCGCAACCAGGGCAAGGAAAATGGGGGGCAGCAAAGTGAGGCCAAGGAAAAGATGGCCAGCCGCAAGGGACCGATGGTGGAAAAGGGTACCCCAACAGGCTGGCCGGCGGATCGGAGAAGGCGAAACGAAGAAGACGTCCGCCCACTACTCAGCTCAGCAAAGGAGGCGTAGTGCAAGGTCGTTCAGAGAAGGGGTTCAGGCGCCATCGAATCGGCGTCGGAGAACTGCCCGAGCCCGAAAAGATCGGAGGGCCACCGCTAGCTCCTGCAAAAAGGCGTTGTAGCATCCCTACCCCTTCCTGAGGGGGGACGTCGAAAATTGTAAGTTACATTTTCCTGTGCGGAGGGCCTCAAAAAATGTAATTACATTAACTTTGAGGTGGCCTGAAAAAAGATAACTTACATTTTTGAGGCCTCAAGAGTCATTTTCCGGGGAAAACCTCAAAAATGTAAGTTACATGTTTGAGGCACGGTGGCGCGCTTACATTTTTGGACCCCCCCCCATCCCCACACTAATTTCTGCTCACGACCACGTCCCGCATGGTCAAAAAAACAAAGGAACCAAAGCGAAGACCCCAAAGGAAGGCAACAAAGCGAAACCCAAACATAACAAAGGATCACACTCCATACACAATAAACAATAATGGAGAACAACAAAGGAGAGGCTGCCTGTTCTATTGGGCAGGAGAACAAGGATATTCAACGCCGTTTGATCCCCTGGTTTCTTGCCCCCTGCTTGCGGTTCGTGTGGTCGGACGTGTGTGATTTTCAGTATGCTAAAATGTAAGTACCTCAGGGGGACACCCCAGTTCCTTGTAAATTCTGGAGAGTTGGGCATGCGGCCAAAATGTAAGTTACAATTTGTGAGGTCAATACTTTCTCACAGAACCCATGTATTCCCTGTAAAATCTGAGGATTTGGATGCGTGGACTAATTGTAAGTTACAATTTTTGACGTCTGCAAATCTCACCTTTTGCCTGTGTCCTGGTCCTGCATTTTTGGAGGCTATGTTTTCCTTGGTGTTGAAGCATCAGCAAACAGTTGCCAAATAATACTTTTTTACTTAGTTACGTATTTAGAAAATATTTCATTAAGTGACTCCCACCCCCAAATAGTTTCTTAGTGATTTGCGTATCTTCGATCTGCCAAGGCACCGTATATAGGGGGGGTAAAAAGATGTAAGTTCAGGCCTCCCAGGTCGCAAGTTACATTTTCCAGACCCCCCCCCCCCCTTCGATCTGCCAACCGCCAGTGGGGGGGGGGGTGGTAAAATGTAAGTAAGCACGTCCCATGCAACAAGTTACATTTTTTTGCCCCCCCCCGTTACCCGTTTCGATGGTGCCTGGGGGGTGGTAACTTACATTTTTTGACCCCCTAGGGGGGTACCCTAAAATGTAACTTACTTTTGTGAGGTCCCCCCTCCCGGCAGTAGCTTAAAGGGGTAGGAATGTTGTAGCACACAGCGGGCTCCTCGCCCGTGCGCGCGGCAACGGCATGTGCCACGTGCTTGAGGACTTTCATGGCGGCAGGGTCCCACGTTCCAGTGCATTCGGGCACCAGGGGGGTGAAGTGGACGCCCTGTGCAGCACAAGCCTGGGCCGTGTGCAGGTGAAGCTCGTTGTGCCGAGCGTAGGCTTCGGCCGCAGCCGCCGTGCGCCGGCTCGCCTGAGCCAGGGTCTCCTGCCGCTGGGGTGCCGTGATGGCAAAATCAAATGCGGTGGGAGACCCGGCAAAAGCGGGCAGGTACACGTCAGCCGGGCGGCGGTTGGCATTGCTGCTGGTGTCATCTGGGCTAGCGGGGAGAAGCAAGCCAGGCCGCTCACGTTCAGGTCTTAAACCTCCACGCTGAGCCCATGCGTAGACCAGGTCGCGGACTGCATGATGCCGTTGGGTGCGCTCTCCGCCAGCCATGCACATGCTGGCATGGTGGCTGTACTGGTCAAGGACCGAATCGCAAAGGGGGCACCAAGTATCCACATCGGCGTCGGGCACTTGGAGTCGCGCTCGAAGTTCAGACACGAAGCTGGCTGGTTCCATGCGGGTGCGGCCGTGGGGCACTGCGTTGAGGAAGGCCCGACCCCCAACCGACGCTTCGGACAAAAGAGTCGCACGGCCAGTCACACTGGCGTTGGCAAGTTGGGCGCTCCAACCGGCTTCATCCAGCAAGTGGGACAAGGCATGCTGTTTGCTGGCCATGGCAACTTCCAAGGTGAGTGGCGCGGTCGGGGCCAACTGGCGTGGCTAAGGCAGCAGCCACGTCGGGGTTGGCTTTGGCTGCCTCCACGGAAAAGCTGGCATCCGGGTCGGAGGCAGTGTGCAGGGAAGACGCCCACGAAGCTAAGAAAGCTGCGGCACTGTGCTTTGAGGTGGACCGGAGCCCTAAGCCGCCGTGTGCCAATCCCAAAGATGCTTGGTTCCATTGACTGGCATTAAGGTGGAGCCCAGTCGAAGGCTGCGATGAACACCCTCAGGACAACGACTGTGCTGAGTGCGTTCTTCAGGCTGCACAGCGCCAAATAATACACGTAGAGGAATTGACAGCGGCTGTTGTAGTACTCCTTTGCTCCCACAGGCAGGGCCGAGTCCCGTGTCAGAGCCCAGGCATAGCCAGGATAGGAGATCGATGACCACGGCGATTGTTTGCATAGGACGAAATATTCGTCATATGTGACTTGCGGGTTGTGGGCGAAAATCAGCAATTCTGGCGCGTGCTCGGGATTCCGAGTGGCGACACTGGCAGAGATCGCTTCACGCTCCGACCCCAGCGAGTTGAGAACAAATATGCGTACAGCCTGAAGCGTTTGCACGATCCGGCTGTGCATAGTTTGCTCAACATACCGCAAGCCCTCCGTGACGCGAATGTCGTCCCACAGCTGCTGCCTGACTTTCTCCGTCGTGTAGAAGTGCCTGATGACAAAGCCATATGTCTTGATCGGCCGCTTTTGGACAAACTCCTGATAGCCGTGCTGAAGCAGCCGGGTTCTGTAGATGTTTGCCCACTTGGCCGCATAATCGTACATTGGCTTGTCGTGTGCGCTTTTGTCGATCACACCTGGCAGTGACTCGTAGACCTCACAATCTGTCAGTCTATTGCGTTGCATCACTGTCTGGCGGACTGCGGATCGCTTCGTTTGTAGCGCACAGCGTGTGATGGCCATCCAAAGCATCCTGGCTGCATGCCTGCAAGTTCCCAATCTGAGTGGAGGCCGGCAGGATCTAGCAGTTCGTGTCCGGTGTATGAAGCGCCTGCCCAATCGTTCCCTTAGCTTCCGAGAAGCTTTGTTTTCTATCTGCCAGCTATTTTTTTTGCTCCCACCCTCCTGGAAGCCAGTTTTGGAAGCCCAATTTTTTTGACTGCCAGCTGGTTTTTTTGTCTGGCAGCTTGTTTTTTTAGCTTCTGAAAACTGTCTGCCAGCTACTTTTTTTAGCTTCCTAGACCTTCCAACGGCTAAAATATTCTAGTACGATTGGGTTGTTGTATTAGTTTCTGATGCTTCGATGGAAAAAAATGGTAGTTGTCAGAACCGACTGATTTTTGCTTAGCGGTGTGATTTGGGTATGCTCCACAGATTTTGATCCGAGTAGCCATCACCGGCTATCACACATCTATATTTAGGGGATGACTTCCGTATTTATCAACCCATCCATCCATCAGCCATCCCATTGGACGCAGTGGAAGACGCCAGTCATCATCGACCCGGCAAAGACCGACCTTCAAGTTTTGTTTTTTTTTTTGCGGCCTTCTTGATGACGATAACTGGATTAATGCCCAGCTGCCAAGTGTCTTCATTTGCCTTTATCATTATATAATGAACGACTTCGAATTCCGGTGGAATTGCAAGATGCGATGCAGGATATGTACAAAGAAATTAAATAAAAAACTGGCTACAGGGTTGCAATAAGTTCATCCTTGGCCAATGGCAGAGATGATTTGATATATAATAAATACTTTGATGTCACCACGACAAAGGAGAAATTGATAAAAACATTTGTCTGTTCATGCCCAGGTTGTGACCTCTGAAGACCTACATGGAGTGGAAAGCACTTAATGTTGTTCTGAGGTTTCGGAAACAGAATTTGATGAAAGCCCACGACCAGTTTTACCCGCAAAACGCCCACAAAAACCCTCAAAACGCAATCAAAAACCTGCAAACGCCCACAAATCCCAGAAAGTAGGTCAAATGGGTTTTTGATTGTTTTTGAGAAACCTCTAAATTCGTTGAATTGCAACTCTTTTGGGCTGAATGTCATGAGTACGATTGCCTGCTCCACTTGGACAATCTTTGGTCACAAGCTGTTCGGGAGAAAATGAGTGCCTAGTCATGTTTTCCTACGAGCATGATGTCGACATGAGTTCATTTGTTAGCAACAATGCAATTATGGTTCCTTTTGCATACTCGTATATTACTGTATCTTGTAGTTTTGCTGCGCTCGAGCCTGCTCGTAATTCTTGGAGCTCTAGGCCAATGTCTGATCGACCAGGGATTAGTGAAAGCCGCTCTTTCTTAGAGGGGTATATCGACTGCTCAAGCGATGGCCAACCCAGCTGCACTTGATTTCGCCACAAGTTTTGTGCAAGCATAAGAGATCATACCTTTGAACTCCCGTGAAACCGACCAATCATCATCGTCATCATCATCATCATCATCATCCATCAGTCATCCATCAGTCATCCAGAGGCCACGGGGAGGGCAGTGTGTGACCATGCACGACCACTCTTTGTTTGAATCGTATGTGCTCGATCACTTTTCAACTGATCGTCACAATAAAGTAGTACAAACCACATCGACCAAAATATTTTGGGATTTTGAAGGTCTAGGTTCTGACAAAAAAACAAGCTTCCAGTATTTTTTTCTGTTAGCACCCCAGAAGCCAAAATTTTTGGCTTCTAGAAGCTTGTTTTTTGGCTTCTAGAAGCTTGTTTTTTTGGCTTCTAGAAACTTAGTTTTTAGCTTCTAGAAGCTTGTTTTTTTAGCTTCTGGAAATGGTAGCTCATTAACAAACTAAAAAGAATATACACATATAGATAGATAGATAGATAGATAGATAGATAGATAGATATTTACTAACCATGTCATCAACCTAGCCCAAGCTCAAGAGCATAGATCTTTTTGGAAATGGCTCGTCTTTTGCCAGTGGAGCAGACCAAAGGCGATGGAAGAATGGCAAAATTGGTTGGCCTCATCTCTGGCTTTGTGCCAGATTGTAGCTTGAAAGATTTTCCCCTTGAGCCAGACATGGCTATTTCAAAGCAAGCAACCTTTTTGTCTGTCTGGTTTGCTGAAAAGCCCACTAAGCCTGAAGCAAGGCTCTCTTTCCAAATTGCTTGCCCTAAAATGTCAAATTTGGACAGAGGTGAGATCATTCAGCACTTGGTGCAATACAAGAGATGGCTGACCAAAAAAGCTAAAAATATAAAAATGGAGAGAAGACAAGCCCTGCAGTCCTCCAAGTGATGAAAGCCATGGGCTTGGCACCTATCGCCAGTGAACCCCAGCCTCAGCCTGAAAGAATGCTAAAAAGGAAAACACACTTGCCATCTATTCTCTTGTGGCCCCTGAGCCAGCAATGGCTGCAATTCAAAAGCAAGACCCCCAGCCTGAAAATAACAAGGCAACAATTCAAAAGCAAGACTCCCAGCCTGGAAAGGCTCCAGCCACCAAATCAAAAATTTTAATGCTTCAAGGCAGCAGCACAAAGTCCAAGGTGGAGAGCGAAAGCTCAGGCAGTGAAGAAAAGGAAGCTTTTGTGGTCAGCACACAGGAAGTTTCTTCCACTTCATCTGGTATAGTGACCCCTCAAAAGCTGAAACCCAAAAATGGGAAGAATGGCAGCTACAAAAGGCCTGCCAGCTGCATGACCCCCCAAAAAAAGCCAGCAATGGCTCCCAAGACTGCAAAAGTTACCAAGCCTGCAAAGCATGTGCACATGGCAACCCACAACACATGGGTAGCAAGCTGCAGCTTTGGCTGGGTCAAAAAGGGCAACTTCAAGGAGAAGGGCTACATCCAAGCCAGGGATGGCTCTGAATCCAAACCGTATTGTTTGGTGAATGTCAATTTACCAAAAGGAGATGACCAAAGCAAAGTGTTGGAAGCTTGCTTTGCTGAAGCAAAAAAGCCAAGCCTGGACAAGGCCCATATGGTCAATTTCAAAAACAATCTCTTGAAACAGCTTTGGGCACTAAAGCCTGCAAAGGCTCTCAGCCAAAGAGTTGGGCATGGCAAAGACCATACCACCACCAGCCTGCAAAGGCTTTTCTCCAATGAATGAATTTTTGAAGACAAAAAAGGAACTTTGAAAACAATCTCTTGAAACCATCTCTTGAAACAGCTTTGCTACAGCCAAGTGGCTCAAACCCAGGTCAACCACATGACAGGCCACACCACAGATACACACACACACCACAACAGCAACAACAATAAACACACACACACATACACACCACAACAGTAACAGCAACACACACTTATATGGCTGTATGTGAGCAATATACAACACACACACAAGTCTCACACACACACACACAAGTGTCACAGCACACACACACAAGTGCCACAGCGCACACACACACACAAGTGTCACAGCACACAGAGCAGTCGCCCCTTGTGCAGCCATGTTGTGGCTTTTGGCTGTCTGCTGCTGCCTCTTTGCCTGCAAAGGCACCCAAGCCTGCAAAGGCAAACTCACAACCAGCCAGAAATGGCTCTTTTTGGCTGCTGCAACCATGGCAGCCATGCCTGCAGAAGGCGCACCATGGTTCTGCTGGTGGAGGGTGGGGGTGTGGGATGGTGAGTATCACTATGTCCACCCCTCAGGCTGGCATGAAGAATTGCCACAATCTTATGTGGACTGCTTGGAAGAGCTGTTCCAAGCAGAGCCAGAAATGGCTGCCTACATCCATGGCTTGTCACACATGGGCCATGATGTGGGCCCATACCCACCCAATTGGCACCATGCCAGCCAGATGTGGGTGTCCTCAAGAGACCAGCCTGAACCAAGGCTACAGTATGTTGCTAGGCCCCTGGATTGTGGGACACTGATCCAGGGGTACTATGCAGATACTGATTTTGTGAGTTGGGGAAGCCAAGGTGAAACCCCAGACTGGGATCCCCAGTGGGGTGACGCCTTTGGCCCTGGCCCACCCAACTCTGCCAGTGATGGCACTAGCAGAAGCTCCATTGCCAGAGATGGCACCATCACAGTGCAGTCAACCCGCTGTGTGAGAACCTCATGCCAGGAATGGCAAGACTGGTCTTCACCCAGCCAGCAGTGGCAAGACTGGGAGGACTGGCAAGACACCTGCCAGCAATGGCAAGATTGGAAGAGTTCTGAAGCTGCCCCTCCAAATCCAGACAGGTGGATGTTTCATGGCAGGGCTTCTGCCAAAAGAAGAGCTCAAAGAAGAGAGTTGGAAAGGAAAGGTGAAGAAGAGTCCCTGAGGAGTTAAAGCCCAGGGTCCACAGTCTGAATAAGGCTCTCAAGAGGCAAATGTATGAATTGCATCGCAAAGCCAGGGAAATGGCTCAAGAAAAAGATCCAGCAAAGTTGGATGAATTGGAAAAGCAACAAGCAGACTGGCTAGCCATTGTTGCTAGGGAAGATGCAGAGAGGAGGGCCCAAGAGGCTTCCTCTGCCAAGGGGAGCACAAGAAAGAGCAAGGCTTCCAGTGCCAGTGATGGCAATGGCAGGGAGAGGTCGAAGAGTGTGGGGACAAGGTTAGGCAAAGATGGGAAACCAAGATGTGAGCACATGCCAGCAGATGGCACCCTCATTCAAGGTGGGGATGAGGAGGGGGAGGAGGATGAAGAAGATGATGGTGTTGGAGTGCCTGAACAAGGCAAAAAGAAAAAGAACAGGAGGAGAAGCAAAACAGCCAGAGGGAAGAAGCAGCCAAAGGAAGAAAAGCCAGACAATGGCTCTCAGGAAAAGGATCCTAGTGTTGGAAAAGATGGTGGTACTGGAGGTGCAGGGGCAGCAGAACCAGTTGCTGCTCCTTAAATGCCAGCAATGGCAACTTGCCAGCAATGGCACCCTGCCTGAAAAGGCATTCTACCAGCACTGCAGCTGAGAGTTTTTGGAAAAAAAGGTGCGCCTGCCTGCTTTCAGTGGTACTTCGAAAGGGTTGTAAAAAAGGATCTTTTGGAACTTTTGGACTATGGAACTTTTGGAACTTTCTATCCTAGATATTGTTTTCTTATATAAATCTAAAAGTTCCAAAAGTTCCGAAAGTTCCAAAAAGTTCCTGGTCACATTTTTCAAACCCACCCCAAGGGGAAAATCTGCAGCCATTTTTCTGACCTCAAGCTTTAAACAACTGGCCAGTGTCTGTAGCAAGATGGCAAAAAGAAAAGCTCCCGATGTGAAGGTGGAGCCACCAACCCCCAAGAAGAAAGCAATGGCTAAAGCAAAAGCAACAGCCAGTGATGGCTCCGCCATTCCAGAGGCAACTCCTTCTGTAGCCTCTGAGGCAGCAGCTATGGAAGCCCCAAGTACTGAATCCAAGCCTGCAAAGGCTAGAGCAGTGAAGGATGGGGAGTTGCCTGCTCCTTCAAAAGATGCTTGGAAGGACATGCGCCAGCAACTTGCCAGGAAAGCCCAGGCTGGAGACAGCCCTCAAGAAGACTGCCTGGGACAAGGCATGTGCCAATGGAAGCCAACAAGCCAAAAGAGAGTTTTACTACAACACTTTCCTTCTGGATGAATCTGCAGCCAGCCGCAGTGTACACAAGCAAAGCCTGGAAAGGCTCAAAAAGACTGACAAAGTCATCGATGGTTGGATGACCAAGTACCATTTTGCAGGGTGCTGACCCACAAGACCCAGACTTCAACAAGCTGGCAGAAGCTGCAGTACTGGGGTTGCCTGAGAGACCTCATGAGGTCAAAGCTTGGGCAGAGCTGGGGCACAAGCAATACAAGCTTGAGAAGCAGCTTGCGACTGAAAAGGAAAGAAGTTATGAGTCCACCACAGCAGCTCACCAGGAGGTCAAGGACCTGCAAGCCCCTGAGTTCCAGCAAGTGGAGAAGGCTTTGATGGCTGTGCCAGAGTCCAGCCAAGTGACTCTGGGTGGCAAACCCAAGCCTGACAGGCCTCTACCCAAGCCAGAAATGGATGAGGTCGAGACCACCATGGAAGAGCAGTACAAGGCAACCTACAAAAGCCTGAAGAAGGCTGTGACTTCCTTAGGGACAGCAGTGGACAAACTGCTGCTCCTCAAAGAAGCCTGCAAAAAGGCTCAGCTCACTGCTAACAGCAGCCAACTGGATGCAAGCATCCAAGAGCTGGATGGTTTGGAACAGACTTACAGCAAGTCGAAGACCGCATGGCTGGAAAGATTGGGCCAATGGAAAGAACACTTGGATGAGCCTGAGAAAGGCAAGGAGCACATCGAGGCTATGGCATCAATGAAAAAGGAAGCAGATGATGACTATAAAAGCCTGCAGAAGGCTGTTGGCCCACACAGACTCTGGGCCAAAAATGCAAACATCATCTGAGCCAGCAATGGGTGACATCAGTTTTGACCCAGCCAGAAATGGCTAAGCAGCTAAAGCAACAGACCGACCTGACCAGCTAAGATGAGTGACAAAAAAGGTTTGCAGATGGGTGTGGTTTGGCCATGGGCTGGGCTACTTTAACCAAAAATGTTGGCTCAAGCACTTTTACAATAGATGGCTAGGATCATTTGGTTTTGGATTTGTTTCACCCATGTTTGGGCTGCTCCAAAGAGAAAGCTGGAAGAAGCAATGTTTTGGAAGCCTCCCAAGCCAGAAATGGCCCCATCACCTGAGGCCATGCAAGCCAGAAAAAAGCTTGGTGAAAAGGTGGTGAGCCTTTACAAACAAAATAAGCTTTCAGCTGAAGATATCAGCCAGCTGCTACAAACTGCTGATGCAGCTGGCTTAGAGTTTGCTAACCCAACCAAAAAGAAAAAAAGCAAGCCTGCAAAAGGCTCAGATTCTGAAGAAAGCAGAGACAAGAATGCAGCTAGAAGCATGGATCGATATTTAAGAAAGACACATCAGTGGCCTGACCTCTATTGGGTGCAAATACCAATGAAAAGCCCAAAGAGAAGGTCCAATGATTTAAGCCAGCAGTGGCTGCCCTTTCTTCTTCCTCATGAATGGTTGGGTAAATTTTTCACCCAGCCGGTATCGAGGCAGCAGATAGGAATCCTCATAGCTGAGAAAGCTGGGCTGCATGGCAAATTCATGGACCAAAAATCTAATGTGGATTGATTCATCCTGCCTTGTACAGGCACTCCATCACCATGCAGACCCAAGGGGTACATGGTCATAGGAGGGTTGCCATTGCTGGCACAGGCTTCATTCAATATTTTGCAATTGAATGTGCCTTCAACAGGCATGCCTTCCTGCCAAGCATTTTCTTCCCGTAAGATCAGCACTGCACCCAGCATCGATTGGGTTGTTTCCGATGGCGTGCGCATACCCAAGTTGATCAAAAACGTCAACAGCAAGTCCAAGTCAGAAATCATGTTTGTGGATAGCTTGAACTCATCCCACAGGTGTTTGGGAATGTACAAAGCAAACATTTCCCAATTCTGCATCGCATTGCGCTGCTTTGGGGTAACCCGACTCACATCAGCTGCTGCGGCTTCAGAGCTGCTTGCCATTGAGATCTCTAAATCTACAAATAACCAATGCAAACAAAACCAAAAGGCTTCAGAAAGATGTACCTATCGAAACTTAAGGCGGACCACCGCCTTAAGACACAGCCGAACACATGTTCAAGAAACGAAGCAACCTTGCAAACAACAACATGACAAACAGGCGCGCTCAAACATCAACGAAGACCACAAAAAAAACAAACAAACAACAAACAAACAAAGAACCAACCACACAAACAAACAAATAAGCAGAACTACAAACAGAAACTACCAAAAATAAACAAACTAGACCAGCAAAGAACAAAAAACACACAAATAGATAAACAAACACACACCAACAAACAACCAAGTAAGCAACCACACAAACCAAGAAAACAAAAATACATTGCCCACTTTTCATCATGGCACCTCGCACGGCAACAAAAAGCAACACTGCTTCACAAAAAAGGCGCGGGCGCTATTTTTTAACAGTCCCTCAAAAATAAGGCTTGTTCCTTTCCAAAAAGCTAAGTTCGGTAACTTAGTTATAAGTTTTTTTCATTTTTTAAAATGTTGAAGTTATATCTAAGATATTTGTGCTTTATCATTTGCAAGTTAGTTATATGTAGCTTATAACTTTGCACAGAAGTTAGCAAACTAACACCAGGTTATAAATTATGTTGTCCCTAGTTATAACATATGTTAGCCCAAGTTATAAGTAGGGTTAAGTAGAGGGGGCGCTCATTGTAGAGATCCACTGCCACCTGGGCCCGACTGGCTGGCGCCGACATAAATAGTCTCCAATCACCTTCGCAAAGGTATGTGGATCCATCGGGTATACTATAGATACTATAGGCAAAAGGTTATATGCATATGCAGGTATACAAGTCCGCATCACACAGGGCTCCTGTCCCACCTCCTCAGAAGGTATAGGGACCAAACCCCTGAAGCACCTACCCCAGCCACCGAAGCGAAACAAAGCCAATCTCAGCACACGTCAAGCTTCTGGAAGGCGTCATGATCATGATGTTCATGGAGGGAACCTTTAAACCTGGTTCTTCAAAGTGACCTAACTTGATGACCTGGTTGGTTCGGTCACTTAAGCCTCCGAGTAGGGTCACGAAAAGGAACCTTCAAAAGGTCACGAACTGAAGAAGCTGGAAGTAGGGATCTATATATTAATTGATATGGCTTGCCTAGACGCGACCCTGGACCCTCCTAAGTAGGGGGACCCATATGGTCCGGACCTTCTCACCAATCCGGTTTGGTTCGGGACCAGTCGAGCTCTTTTTACGGAGCGTCTGGGTGATAGGGATCTTTGTAGGGGTTCCAAAACAGGCTGGTTTCCCTATGACTTCCCCCGCCACCCCACAAGTGGGGCAAATCCTTAGAGACCCCACGTGTCATGCTGTGTCCTGCTGATGTTGGGAGCGACACTTCTCCTTGAACAGAACGCCCCTCTCTCCTTCACTCCCAAAGCTCACCCCACTAGTCTTCTTCCCTTGTTGTTTCACGAGCCCGCAAAGCCCGCACGGTCTCCTCTTGCTGCTGGGCTTCCCCACAGCCCACCCCAGGCAGCATGGGCTGAGCCAAAAAAGCTACTGAAATGTGCTGAGAAGTCTCCAAATCAAGTCAAGGAATCCTTGCTGCTCTGCGCGAACCATGCAGAACGGATCAGTACTGGCCTCGTAGCGAAACTCACCCCACGGAACTCGCCATGGAAGTGACCCAGTTCCGTAAAACATCGTTAAAAGGATGTCAAAGGCGCTAAGTCGGATGCGATAATTATGTCATGCATGTTTCTATTTGATCACATCCGCTGGAAGCTTAACTCCCAGAACATAATGGGTAATCTCCCCCCAAATGTTTGGATACCTAAGCTGGCTCATGCTGGCAAAGATGAAAGGCTGGGTCAGACTCTGAATGATCCAAGACACATGAACAACAAAACCCTGCATGGACTCCATGTTATTACCAGTGTTATTACCCTAGGATTCAAACAACCATTCTTTTAATGGTCTGAATCCCAAAGAACCCTTGTTTTAAGGACTTTTACATTACAACACCAGCTCATCCCCTCCATATGAGGGTCCATTCGGGGATGGGGTCGAGTCGCATAGACGCGAATCCACCTCACCCAGACGCTCCGTTTTCACGACGCTCGACTGGTACCGAACCAAACCCTCGGGATTTGAGACCCCACACCCCTCCAAAGGATTCGGGCCCAGGGTGGCGTCTGGGCAGATCAAACTATGGCAGCTGAGGGTGGGATGAAACAGGCCGAGGGGCACCGGCGATGAACCTCTGGGGCCCTTTTTTTCCGTCGGTCGAATGCCCAAGTCATCCAAGCGTTGCTCCCTGGGCACGGGAGAAAAACGCATGGCGTGTGGCACGGGAACGCGCAACGACCCCCCCCGGCCCTGAGGGTCACATGGTGTAAATGGACCGTGGTTTCTTGCCCAAACGCGACCGCCGGACCCTTCGTTCCGGGGCCGGACCCGAATGGATCCGGACCTCACCAATCCACCAGTCGAGCTGGTTTCACGGAGCCTCTGGGTGGTGTAAAATCCCTTGGTTGGACGGCTGTTCGGGTCTAAAGAGGTTTAAACCAAACTCGTTCTGAGAAGTCTCTCCAGATGACGGGTATGACGAGTGGCCAAAAAGCGCTGGCCCCGCTGGCGGACTTGGAGATTGAACATGTAACCACCCATGAACAATGCACCCTAGGTTGGAGGCCATCGCTATACTAGACTTTTGCGCTAAATGAGCTGACTTGATCAGTGAACGAACGTCTTGTCCATGGGCCATGGGGTCCTTACCCCATATTTCCTGAATGTAATTCTTTCATCCCCCGATCAGGTCACACCTCCCAAACTGTCACATACAGGCCACACCGCCCTGTCTCTGTCTGGTGGCCCCCGGCATCTCTTGAGCAAAACGCGCCCATTCAGCATACGTCACGCTGCGCACGTGCGACAGCGCGCGAGTGCCTCAGTGCGCTGAACAAAGGCGTCGCACTGCGCTGCAGCACGGCTGCACGTCGACGTCGACGTCTTGCTGTCCGCGTGCCCATCCGACATGCCCTATAAGGCTCCTGGCCGCCCCCTCCTGAGGAGAAGGTGGTTGGGGTGGGTGCCATGGGGGGTCTAACCACCTTCTGAGGATATGGGCCAGGAGCCCTAGGGGGGTCCAAATGATCCATCTACTCAGGACCTTCCTGTCGAGGTGTCTATCAGTGAATCGCCAGCCTCTTAGAGGCTATTTGAGAGGTGTCCACAAACCATTGGACTTGGGTAGTTCGGTCCTGGTATGGAATGGTTACGTATACGGGCATCCTTGGGTGTTTTTTTGCGGAAGTCTTCCAGTCCCAATGGGGGTTTGGTTTCCATGGTCTGTGACATTGGGCCTTGCAGACCCATGGGAAGCTGCGGATTCCCCAATCCCAGGGCTCCAGTCGTACCTTCGTTTCGAAGGTGTTTAGGGTGGGTTTCGAGGGTGCAAATACCTTCTGAGGAGGTACTTGGAGCCCCAGGGAATCGATTTTTTAATGGTAGACTGAACTCGTCGAGGTTTTTCCACCGCATGCTTACAGGGCAAGAAAACGCACCCTCCCACGAGGTGGCCAGTACGCAGTGTACGCAGTACCCCTCCGCGATCTTTCATGTCCCATACACTCCATGGGACTGGAATATATGCCGATCAATTGACCCCGCAAACCACCATCCCTGGCCGTTTCTCGGCAGTCCGCAGTCCCATGGAGCGTTTGGGTGTCCTACTCTTCCTCGGCTCGGACGCTTCGGCGGACGCTCGGCTGGGGAGTCTTCAACGACCTGAGCTGACCTGCAAACGTTCCCTAGAAGTCAATGACCTCATGAAAGACTGAAGTTGGTCGTATACAAACACACTACTCGAACAGGTTTTCAGGACCAGGTTTGGACCTGGGTCAGACTGGATTTGTAGGGGTTCTTTTCTCTCATGCGCCCAAAGCCGTATGGCACGATGGCACGAAGCATGATAGTGCAAACGGCTGCAACGAGTTGATCTCTCCCGTACTGATCTGACTGCGATTTTGGGGTCAACCTTTGCGCACTGTTCGCACTTGGAGCAACTTAGTCTCTCCAAGAGACTACGGCGTATCGGACAAGAAGCTTTCTTGCTGTGCTCTTCGTTGCGTGAAGTGCATACCCCTCCAGCCTTGCTGTATATTGCCCACCGAGCTTTCTCTGGATGCACACAACTTAGCAGACTTCACAAAATGAAAGACAAAACGACATGGAGAGGACCATATGTCGAAAGTAACGCTTTCGAGATGTGCCACAAGTAACCCTTTCCACGGTGGATGTAGACAACGATGTAGACTCGTGATGGAGAAAATAGAACAATTTAAAAATAAACACCTCTTCAGGCTTGGGGGGTTGATTCATCAAGAGTCTACATTACATTGATCCCTAAGAATCATTGGCCCGTGCTATGGAGGGGTTTTGACCCTGCAGAACGCAGGGGTTTGGACCTGAATCAACCTTCACCGAACTGAGGGTCCTTGATCTTAGGGATGAAGTGTTATGGCACTTGCCAAATGCTGCTTGATCATCTTGATCCAGGGTCGCGTCTGGGCTCAAGGATCAGTCGAAACACGAAACACGAAAACTCTTCACTCGGTGCCCCCAACGCATCTCCTCAGCCGCCTCATGCAGACCTCATGGCGAGCCAGCGCGTTGCGTGTGGCGCGCGCGAGCCACTGCGTGTGGCGAAGTCGCGGTCAACTCATCCCAGACACGACCTGTCTAGGACTGCCATAGGACTGCCGATCAGGCCAGAGGGTGGTGCCAGGGGGCTCAATGTAGGCATATACCAGGGCCCCTAAGGGGTGTCCAATAATGGCTATGGTTCCTTAGAGATTAATGGGTGTCTATTAACCACCCCTTAAGGGGGCCCTGGTAGAGGACATATACATTCCATGGAGTGTATCTGTGTGTTGTGGAAATGTTTTGGTGTTCTCCTTGTACTGTGTTAATGGACTCCATGACGAGTGTATACCAAAAGTCTAACGCACATCACATCCCCTGAGACAATCCCACGTTCAGAAATTAGCCTCTGTACTCTCCACTCCACTCCTGGCCTATTCCCATTCTTGGTCCACCCTCAGAATTCTTGGGCCCTTGGGGGGTAAACAGGGCCCTCAAAAACCCTATGTGTTGCTGCCCGGAGTCCTAAAACCAGGCCTTTTCCACCGGACCGACCCGCGGGCCCTGCGGCGCCACGAACGGGGCGTCGGACGGAACAGCTCGGGCGGAGCCTGTGGAGCACCTGCGGAACAGGTACGAGCTTCGGGTGACGCAATCCCCCCAACCACGTCAGGTGCTTTCGGGTAGGATGAACACGAGCAAATGAAGATCAATCCCCTCCCACACTCCATGTGTGCCGTTCTATTGGGCCTACTGATGCTTGTTCTTCTTTGCTGGGTGTGAACTTCAGGTCCTTTCCCCACCGGCAGTGGCGATCCACTTTCGGTCCATGACTCCGATGGACAAACCGGTTGCAACCAGCAGCGGAAGATGAGAAGACTTGGACCTGACAGAATTGGGGGGCACATCCCCCCAAACAATCCTACCAGGGCTCCTGGCCTAGCAGTACCTCCGTTTCGGAGAAGGTGGGACTGGGGTGGATTGGGAGGGTCTAACTATCTTCTGAGGTGGGACAGGAGCCCTAGGGAACTACAACTGACATCATTCCTCCAGGGCCTTCGGTTTGTGACCGGAACTTGACATCCCAGGAAGTTCGTAAGGTTCGGTCACACAGACCATGACTCCCATGGTCATGGTCACGGACTGCTCATGGTCCTGGCACCAACGCTTTCCTACCGATCAATCCTGTTGAAATCAATCCGTCCAAGTTTCCCTGCATGGCTTCACAAGAGAAGTGTGGCGCACATCTGAGAGAGGTGAACAACAAAACCATCACCCTCCCGAATCCTGACCCGCTCAGTTGTCCTGGAACATATATACCCTAGGGCTCCAACTACCTCCTGAGAAGGTGGTTAGGGTATAGTAAGTTTGGGGGGTTTAACCACCTTCTGAGGATATGGTTGGAGCCCTAGGGATATGGAACATAAAGCGGTTAACCATGTTGTTGCGTCGTTTCATATTTTGTGGGGAAATGAATCCTGAATAAAAGGTTGATAAATGTTGTAGAAGTTTATCAACTTTTCCTGTCTATAGGAATCCCTGTCTTCCTTTCGCGGGCCTCCATCCTCTCTCGGGTCATAGATGCTCACTGAGATCCAATCCTTCGCCGGCATGGCGAACCTGCAGCGGGAAGGACCAACACGAGGTGTTGACTGTCCAAGTCCAAGCATTCCGAAAAAGAGTTGACACAACTTGAGCTACAAAAACAGACCCAGCGCCCGCCAGGTCAACCTTTCAGTCAGCCAAAAGGCGACCAGTGGGGTGCTGGTACTCGAAGGCTTAGGCTGCGACTCAGGGTCTGCTGGTAGGCCCCGCAGTCCCTGCTCTACTCTGAAACCAGTGATTTCAGAGGTTCTATGCCACAAACCCCAAAAGATGTCCTGGACATTGGGTCTATCCTATTACCTGTAACAGTGGATGATGATGGTTAGGTTGCAAGCCTTATCCAAAATAGCAATAATTGTTTACTGACTGTTACAGGTCAGTTCGGACAGACCCCACCTAGACAGATGGGGGTCCATATAGACCACCGAATTGGGGGATTGTGCCATTGAACCTCTGAAACCACTGTCGATGTCTGAAGGGGTCTGAGGTCTCAATCTCTAGGTTTTGAGGGACCAAGAGCTGTTTAGAGCGTCTGGGTAAGGTAAAAAAGAACAAAACGTTCCAGGTCGCAAGACGCTGAACTGAGTCCCATCGAGTGTGTTTTGTTCGAGAGCCTCGATCCCTCTGAAGAAACGCCGGTGAGTGTTGACCTGTGTTGACCATTTTCAAGAAAGTCAGTGAACGACCTCATGAAATTCTGAAGTTGGTACAATCACACTACGGTCGACAGGTAACCTGGGCCAGGAAGGATCGACAAGGTCGGACCTATGTAAAAGAAAAACAAGAACCCTAAGGATCCGCACCCTCAAAAACAAGGGTTTTGAGGGTACAATCAAAACCCTTGTTATAGAGGGTTCGACCCCCTTCTAAGGAGTGTCCAAGGATCCTTGGGGAATTGGTATTTTCAGCCAATTGAAAAATATCAGTCAAAGGGTCCAATCATCCCCGTTGAAAACACACATATTTCGAAACCATCACCTAGGAATCCATTGAAAACTGGAAGATTGACAAATCCATGGGACCCAACAACAAGCATCTGAAGTTTGTCCACAAATCAACGGATTGTCCTCTTGCTCCTGACATTGGGCCTGTTGCGGAGGAAACCAGTTGACAGATGTTGACAGCTGTCCAACATGTTTCCTCCTCAAACCAGTGCAGCTTGTTGACTTTTTACGGCAGGTTCCATGGTTTTCAATGCCACAAGCCCAGAGTGACGGTGGGTTTCACATGTGGATCTACTCCCCTGCAGATTAACATGGAACCCCCAAACCGCTGGGTTGTAGAGGAAAAATGGTCTTCCACAGGTCAATTCTCAGGTTCTATATGGTTCTATGTTAGTTTGCGGGGGATCCACATGAACAACATGTTTTCCTAAGGGCTCATTACACCGGCAGATTACACCGGCTCATTGTGGGTGGTTCAACCGGCCCATGGCATTCATTCAGAAAATGTAGGAGCTCCTTTGAAAGGTCGGAGCTCCCACACGGGTCCCCCCATCACATAGCATATATATAATTGATCAATTGATCTAATTACACAGATTTACAATGTGTTATAAAGGAAACTTATATATGATAGCAACCATGATAAACCTATTGCAGTCCACACACTGGCTTTGCATTTCACCAGCTCACCAGCTGCCAGGTGCCCGTGCTCGTTGACTGCGTGGATCTGGGTCTGAAAGCGCGCATCCCTGGACGACACGCCACGTCCACAGGCGCGGACGACCGAGCAGCACGGCCCGCACTGCCGTCGGTCCCGTTGCCTCGAAGATGGGACGATCAAACAGGCACTTTGACCCTACAACCCAGACGCTCCGTGAACGACGCTCGACTGGTACCGAACCAAACCCTAGGGATTGGTGAGAAACCCCAGACCCCTCCAGAGGATTCGGGCCCAGGGTCGCGTCTGGGAAGTACACTCCCTGGAACTAACATGGAAGTGGAGAATGACCCCGTAAGGAAGACCATGAAATCCACTACAGTCAGGTGTTGTTTCCAATGTTTTCGCCTTCCATGTTAGTTCTAGGGAGTGTAAGAAACACAGGTGACAGGCCATTTTCCAGGTACGAACGAACTGAGTTGAACGAACGCGCGGGACACGGAGACTCCAGGTGAATGTCAGACTTTGGGGTGTCTAGTTTCTGTGATTGCGCTGTGATAGACCAATAATCCCTAGGGCTCCTGGCCCACCTCCTGAGAAGATAGTTGGGGTGGGTCTGGAGGGTCTAAACGCCTTCTGAGGATATGGTTGGAGCCCTAGGGAATAAAGCACTGGCGCATGGCCCATTTTCATGGTGTATTTGGGAGGATGGTTGAAATCTTCGTGGGGTCTTTGAATGGATAATAGCCAAGAGTTGGCCACAGAAACAGGAGTACAGGAGTTTCAGTATACCATTAAGACTCCACATATTTTCACACACCAAAAGACCCATCGAAGTCGTCGCACACTTTGAGCGCTTTTTGCTGAACACAATCCGTCGTACCCTACTATAAAAAGAGGTGCGACTCGACCCATTTTCGGAGGTACGTGTCCGGGTCCCTAGGGATCCAGTCATACCGAACCTCAGCTTCGGCATGACTGGACCAAAGTCTCCATCACCTTCTGAGACGGTACAACTGGATCCCTAGGGACGTTATAAGCTCTCTTCGGAACCGCCCAGTGATGGCGAGGAAACCAAGGTATATATACTTGCATCGATCCCTGAGGGAATGTCCAAGTGACTAAGACCAGCGACAGCGATAGGAAAGCGACCCAATGTCCGGCGACAGCGACCGGATGCCACCAAGTGTTCAACCAGGAGCGCACATGTTGGGCATCAAACCCTGAATCCAGGGTGTTCGGCGAAAGGAAACAATCTCAGACCATCCCATGTATTGGATTGTATTGGAATCTTCACCTACATTGACCCTTAAACATTTGACATGCCCTACCCTCTGACTCACTAACATGGAAGTGGAGTTCACCACCTGTTTGTAGGAGAATAGTCGTCCAACAGGCCACTTTCCATCCACGTAACCATGTGTCAATCTCTTTGACCGCTGCCATCGCAGCTCCCACGTCGGGTTTGTCCGTCCCAACGTCGAGTCAGTCTGTGGACATTGGAGCCGACTTGGAACCCAATCATTACCCAGACACTCCATGGGACTGCCATAGGACTGCCGATCAGTTGGGGTGGTGCCAGGGGGAATATGGCGGCATATATGGCATAGATGGAGTGTATGGGTTATTCACTCGGTTCAGATTCCAAGTCTGCTCTTCTCCCTTCACTTGCAGGCGATCAATGCTGAAGTGAACAACATGTGCTGTCAGCATGCATATAGCTCGGCAGAAACCAACTTCCGGAGAAGTTTGTCTGTATACGTGAAGTACGGACCAGGGTCGGTGGCCCTGAAATCATGTCATCCGACGTTTCCTGGGTCAGGTGGAATGGCTTCAAGAACAGCAATGCCCTTTGGAACAGAACAACAACAAACTGAAACAACAAAAACAACACGACATGACTCATATCCTGCTTTTGTTCCTTGGGCTTTACGACCCTAAGGCTCAGAAAGGACCCTCAGTTCGCTAGGGTTTTGACCGGAAACCAGCCAGGGTGAAATGGAGCCTTCACCAACATGTAGCAGCTTGAGGGTCCATGAGCCTCCGGGTACTATTCTTCAATGACGACAACCTTTTTGGACCATCGAAGGGCACCCCTTCCAGTGCATTGCTTGAGGGTTCCCTGCTGCCTCATCACGAGCCACAAGAAGAGCGGTGTCCCCGGCCTCGGGCCGGTGCCGGTGACCGACTCTGAACAGGGGTTGGTACCCTCATGTCAGCCTTGGTGTTGGAAGGTCTAGGGAAAAAAAGCGTGAGTCAAAGAGAGTCAAAGGGTTCAAAATGCTTCAATCCTCCCAAGTCAGGTTGAATTTTGAAGCTAACAAGGTTGGGTTCACATCAAATGAGCCCTGAAGACATAGATCATCCTATAGACTCACACACACACACACCAAACTCACCAAACTCAATGACATCATGTTGGAGATGATCAAGTGACCTTTCATTGCATAAGTACCGTTTCTTCTTCTCACGGTTTCACTCGATAGATAGAGTATCGACGGACAACACATCCACCCCAGTCGACTCACTCCTGAGCCGGGCCCATCACTGGGAATATCAAGGTGAACCGAACGCACTTGACCTGTTCGAACGTGAAGATAGTTTCTTCTTTCTTTTTCTTTTTTTCGAAGGAGAAGCTCCCACGTCGTTAGAAGCATGGTGTTGCTAAGAGCTCATAGACTCACACCCCACTCTAGCTCATACCACCTGGGGGTCCCTTTTGACCCCCAAACATCCACTACCCAGCGAGGTGCTTTAAGACGTTGTCTGCCACCAGCACGGCGTGCGGCCTCGGAGCGGTCACTCTATCAAACTGGAATATGCTGGAACATGTGTATGTATATATATATATGCACCCCTGTTCAAGCAACCATTGTCTTACTAAGGATCTTTGCCCTACTTGAAACCAGGTCAACGGTCAACCATTGCAAACATGGTCTTGAATTGCGTCTGGGGTCGCGTATCCCAGACGTTGCCAGGCGCCCAACGCCAAAAGGTCGTGCTCGATCATCAAAGCGACCTCCTGATCCTCAGCGCTTGCGATGAAATCCGCTCAAATCCGACAGGTTCATGGCTGGCACGCCATGTAAACAAGCTTTAGAGGTCGGCTGGAGCAACACTCCCAGTTGCTTGGTGCTATGGTGATGGCCAACAAACAATGTGTTCTTTGTTTGGCCATGTGATTGTGAAACAATTCTATGGCTTTTGTAGAAACTACTTGAGCAATCCCCACCCCAGGCGGCGATTTGAAAGAAGGGACACTCTATTGGCCATTTCCGACCAACGCTGCCTGGCATGGGCACTTCGACCCAAAACTTTCCATACACCGTAGAACTGCATACCCGCAGTTGATGATCCCCAAGCAACTGAGTAGAAGTAAAAGGACACCCCTAGTAAATGGAGACAACCCCTACATAGAACTCCTTCGTATCTGACTCCTTTAGTTTCCCTGGAAAATGAAGGTTAATCGAGCTTTCTACCTGTTCTTGACTGGGGTGACACCACTGCCACAGTCAAAGGTTTTTCAGGTTATCCACGTACTTCCTGGGTTTAGGGCCGCGGACCATTTGAGACTGCTCCAAATGTTCTGCAGTGATTTTGTTCAGCTCCCAGCCCACCAGGGAACTAGAGTCAAGGCCAATGGTCCACTATCAGCCCTCAGCGACTCCAAAGTTCGGTCATGTCATTGGGAAGGTCCTGGTCATATGATCTCTACCAGGCATACCATGGAAAAACCACATGGACATGTCTATTCTTCCAGGTGGCATAGCGCGAGCCGCGCGTATCCATAAAGACCTCGGAGAACGCGGAACAACCATCGGAGGGTTCTCCGCGAAACGACCGAACCGTAAAAGAGCCACCGACCGGGAGCCCATGTGACACCGAAACGAAGCCGGTCTCTGGACCCGAACCTGGCGGCCTTGGTCGTCCCACCGAACCGAAGCGGTACGACTGGAGGTGTAGGGTTGGTTTGGTTGACAGGCCATGAAGACATGTGGGGTGGTTTTGATGGTCCCAAAACTGGCCACGCCATGGATCGCCATAGAAATGCGCCACGCGCCATGGATGCCTCTGGGCAGGGTCAGCCGCGCAAGGCTTCTAGGACTGGATGATTTTTCGCCTCAGAGATGTGCTGCATAGTCTTCCAACCATCATGAGTCGTGAGTCGCATGAACAAATCCTGAGATGTGGACACTCAGATCTGAGCCGGCTCCCTAGAACATAAAAGTTAGACCCCAGGGCCCCAACCATATCCTCAGAAGGCGTTTAGACCCTCCAGACACGACCCAACCATCTTCTCAGGAGGTGGTTGGAGCCCTAGGGATAAGTTAGCTAACCGCACAGTCCATCTGTTCATATTTGTGGGGTGCCCCCAATCCCCCCGTTTTTCAGGTGATCCACTGACTGGGTAGGTTCGCCTGAAAGAACCATTGCCGTTGCCCCTTGGTGAAAGTAATTCACGGGCCTCAAATGCTCGATGAAACCCACTTTACTGCACACCACACCTGGCACACTACACAGCCGGGAGTGCGCTGGAGGTTCGCTTGAAGCCCAACACGTGCCTTTCCAAATCTCACTTGAGGCCAAGGGGGGTGAACGAAAGCTAGCCACTGCGAAGCAAGAGCGGCTCCAGCTAGCTGAGGCTAGCTTTCGTGATCAGTTGGTGAGCAGGTAAGGCAATCTCACGAGCCACCACAGGGATTCTTCTCTCTTGATAAGAAGAACCATCAGAGAGCAAACAAATGACAGCCACTTGCTCTTGCAGCCACTTGGCGGCCACTTGGTATCCACTTGCAGCCACTTGCAAACATTTTGCGGCAGCCACTTGAAACCAACAAGTTCGCAAGCAGCTGCCAAGTCCATGGAGATTACTCAGAGTTCTTCGTGTAAATACGGTTAAAAAAGACTTCTTCGTCGCCAGCTCTGCAGAAGTCCAGGAATTTTTTCCGGAAAAACCTCAGAAACTATCCCGATTTCTCTGCGCATATTCCATACATGGAGTGTCTGGGAATGGACGTGATACCGTGCCTCTTGCTTGGATCGCGAGAGCAGGTGACAACCCAGCACTCGAATCAAACGTTTGTGTTTGATGCAGGTCGCGCAATCCGGACAGCAAAGCAGCAGAAACAAACCAACACCAAACAGCAGCAGCAGCAGCAGCAGCAAAGCAGAAGCAAAAGCAGAAGCAAAAGCAGCAGCAGCAGCAGCAGCAGCAAACAGCAGCAAGCAGCAAACAAGCAGCAAGCAGCAGGTGTAAACCGTGATTTGGTGTACGCGGTGGTTGGTGTACACCATGTGTGGTGTCAACAGTGGTTGGTGCAAACGAAGGTTTGGTGTAATGGGTGGTTGGTGTAATCCGTTGTTTGGTGTAAACCGTGGTTTGGTGTAAGCCGCGGTTGATGTAGACCGTGGTTGATGTAAACGGCCGTGGGTGTATATAAACCGCGGTTGGTGTTAACCTTGCTTTGGTGTAAGCCGTGCTTGGTGTAGACCATGGTTTGGTGTAACCTGTGGTTGGTGCAAACCGTGTCTTGGCGTAAACGGTGTTTGGTGTAAACCCTGGTTTGCAGTAAACCGTGTCTGGAGCAAACCGAGCAGCAGCAGCAGCAAGCAAGCAAACAAACAAACAACCAACCAAACAACCAACCAAACAAACAACCAACCAACCAAACAAACAAACAAACAGCTAGCAGCAAGCAGCAGCTGATGATGAGCGGCATCAGTATGGGAAAGTGCTCATGAGGCAGCATGATGAGACGAGAAGCTCATAGCCATGTCACGCTCACCCGTCCGCAGGGGGGAATTGAACCCTTGGAGGGGGGTACCTAACCGGGCTTGAGGTCTTTGAGGCTGCGGTCCACCCTACGATTTCCTTGCTAAAGCAAGAGCGACTCCAGCCAGCTGAGCCTAGCTTTCGTAATTTGAAGAGCGGTTTCATCTTAGAAACTCTTGAGTCTATGCGGTCGGACCTCACACAATTGACTGTGTTTGGAGCCCCCCAACAGGCCTCCTGACTGGTTTCTAGGCCTAAGAATCTCTGTGTGAAGCCCTGGCGGCTTGCCAAGCCGCTCCTCCAAAACGGCCACCAGCAGTGACCAGCCGCGGCAGCAGGGACAAGCTGTGGCCAATCAGCACCTCCATGCGGCCAAGAAATGATCGCCGTCTAGCAGTGTTTTTTCGAAGATGGGTGGAGTTGGTGGACCTACTGACTCCCTCAGTTTTTCATCTGGGGTGTCGCATGGTGTCCCCAATCCCCAAAAAGGTGAGTCAAGGAGGAGAGCAGTTCCATATGGGTCTTGGCTGGCTTTTCGACCCCCGACCTCCATCGGCGCCCCCGGCACCCCTGTTGGAACTACTGCCATCGGCTTGCTGTGGGAGCAAACAAAGGTTGAGCCGGGTGATGGTGGAATGTATTTCTTTCATCCTCCTCATCTTCGACAAGAGATCCCCATCATACATCCTCTACAAGTGGATGTTCTGGGCACCCCCTCCATGGCTAGCACCCGTCGAACGTGACTGCTGGGGGTAAGCTCTTCGACGGAATTCCAAGCAGGATTGGCGAACCCTGAGACAGCCGGGACATGGCTGGAGCCCAAGCGAGAGTGTGAGCACCAAACACACACACACACACACTTTGACAAAGGGTTTTCAGTTACATCAATTCCACGAGGAAAGGAATGGCTCAACGGAAAAGCGTTCAAGCACTTGAAGATGTTTCAAAAAAATGTTTGTGCACATCTGCGGAAACTACTCAGGCGGCTCACGAGTGGCAGAAAACTGCGGAGGGAAACCTGTTTGGGGGTAGCATCATGACGAAAGACCATGAAAACAAACCGAAGGAAAAGTGGAGTCACAGCATAGGCAAAAGTTTCAAGATCGCAAGTACAAGTGGTTGATCAGACCACTCATCCACCGAAATGCCAATTCGCTGGACTGGATAGGCAACCCTCGGGACGGGGTGTGACACACACACACACACACCCGGCCGCTTTGCGGCGCTCTCGCGCAGAACCTGAATAGGCACCTAAAAAGCCTTAGAAGCGAGAGAAAGAAAAACAGAAAGAGCAGCGCTAAAAGGGCAGGAGAGAAAGATTGGGGTAGCAAAAGGTGACTACTTAGCCCTTGACTGGGGTAGGGAAACGAGCCTCAAGAAACCACCTAAAAAGCCTGAAAGAATGCCCAAGAAACGACGAAAAACGCAAGAAAGAAAGAAAGTGGGGGGCAGGGAGGGGATGTATGTACATGTGTGTGTGTCCGTGTGTGTGTGTGTGTTTGAATACTTAGCACCCTAGAGTTACTGACTACTTAGCGGAAGCTAATTAGGTGCAATAGTTCGGGAGCGGGACTTTAGTCTTAAACCACCCGGGTAGGGTAGACTAGAACAGAGACAACAGAGGGAAAGGCACCGACACACAAGTGTCGAGTACCATTTCCCTCTGTTACCCTAATTAGAGGGAGGGCGGGGGGGTTGGAGAACTCGGCGGGGGTTTATTCTCCGTATGCCCGGCGGCGTCAAGTCTCCGTAAACTCGGCAGTGTAGTAGCAGGAGATTCATGGGTGAAACCTGAGAGGTAGCAAACGAAAGCTAGGGTCTCTCTTTTTGTTCCGCCCGTGCGAGCTGCGGCAGAGCGGGAGCCCAGCCAAGTTGTTTGAACATGTTTGCGAATGGCCAACTGTCAGAATAACGTGCCTGCAAGAGGGTCTAAACCACACTGGTCTAGTAAACCTATCCCTTTTTGTAATTGTAGCAAATGTCCACCTGCATGCAAATGAGCCCACGGAGCGGCAAATCAGTAGAACTGCAAAACACCAAAGCATCAGACGTAACCGTAGTTCTTTCTGCGAACGTAGTGAGACGACGGCGGCAAATCAGTAGAACTGCACTACACCAAAGCATCAGACATAACCGTAGTTCTGCCAAAAAAAAGCAATACGAAATCCCTGTATGCTGCACCCTGTCTCTCTCTCTCTCTCTCAGAGTAGAGTAGACTAGAGTAGAGTAGAGTAGAGTACAGTGGGCGGCGAGGTTTTTTTCACTTTCGTGCTCATGACAAGACAAGCTAGGATAGAACGAGAAAGGAACGATGTTCTGTCATGCTTTCAGCAAGTACTCATGACAAGACAAGGTGGGAACGCCAATCGCAAAAAAAACAATACGAAATCCCTGTATGCTGCATCCTCTCTCTCTCTCTCTCTCCCTCTCCCTGTGTCAGAAAGTTGGAGTAGAGTAGAATAGAGTAGAGTACAGTGGGCCTTCCGATTGTTTCACGTGCTCACATTCCAAAACCTGTATTTACGATATGTTTTCCAACTTGCAGGCACACAAACACAGAAAAATCCCTGTTTTTCACGTTTTCAAACCTATAAACAATCCAATACGAAATCCCTGTATGCTGCATCCTCTCTCTCTCTCTGTGTCAGAAAGTTGGAGAGTAGAATAGAGTAGAGTACAGGGGGTCTTTCGATTGTTTCACGTGCTCAAATTCCACAACCTGTATTTACGATATGTGTTCCAACTTGCAGGCAAACAAACGCAGAAAAATCCACCTGTTTTTCACGTTTTGACACCTAAAAAAACACTATTTACAATGGCCTTTCCACCCTGCAGGCCAAAAAGCATGATATTTACGATGTTTTCACTCTCGAACCAGCATAACAATCCAACATGTTTCACGTCTTCACATTCAAAAACACGGTATTTACGACCTTCAAAAAACATCGGTATTTGCGATGTTTTTCAACTTTTGACTCAATCAGAATCGAAATCAGCCTCCGCAGGGGCGGAGCAGGGAGGAATCGAAGCCCTACCGTCACCAAATTGCTGCATGGTACATAATCCGTCCACACGGACCCTGTAACTCACCCAAAACACCAGCTGACAGCGACTTTTTCTGCCCCGCTGGGCAGCATCTCACCCCCCACACCCTTAATCATCTCACTACGTTCGCAAATGAGAACTCAGCAGTCGCCTATCAGCTAGCTTTCGTAACAAAACAAACCAAACCATAATCCACGAACTCAAGACGCTGAGCCAATTTCACACTTTGACAAAGGGTTTTCAGTTACATCAATTCCACGAGGAAAGGAATGGCTCAACGGAAAGGTGAAGCGTTCAAGCACTTGAAGATGTTTCAAAAAAATGTTTGTGCACATCTGCGGAAACTCAGGCGGCTCACGAGTGGCAGAAAGCTGCGGAGGGAAACCTGTTCGGGGGGTAGTATCATGACGAAAGACCATAACAACAAACCGAAGGAAAAGTGGAGTCACAGCGTAGGCAAAAGTTTCAAGGTTGCAGGTACAAATGGTTGATCAGACCAGTCATCCACCAAAATGCCATAGCTTCGTTGGACTGGATAGGCAAATCGGCTCCAGTCCCCCTGCGCGCACACACACACACACACACCTGCGCACGCGCGCGCGATTGGATGATACCCAGCACCACCCATTTTGGGTGGTCCAATACATCTCCCTGACATCCCCTGACTCTGTCTTTTTGATCAAAATCACCACCCGAACTGGGTGGTGCTGGACCATGCAGTGGGTTGTTCATCTCAAAAAGCAAACACTTTCAATTCAGAAGCGGACGTGTCACGCATGCCGACCATGGGTTAGGAGCTTTGTGTTTGCAAATGTCTTCGCACTATACACAAAGTGCTTGAGACTAAGTCACAAACACCACCTAAATTGCTCATCACGTCCCTGGTTCTTCAGTTTGTGACCGAACTTGATCACCTGGTTGGTTCGGTCACAAACAAGCCTCCTCTCAGGGTACGAACAGGAACCTTCAAGTTAGGTCACGAACTGAAGTGCTGCCTGCGGCCGTCGTCCGTTTCGAAGCGGTCGACACCCTGGGACACACCTATCGTGGACACCACTCGCTCCTTCACGTCCTAGCAGGTCCACCGCGTCCGATCGCTCCGAACGTAGTAAGGCCAGGAGCCCCTATAGTAGTAGCGTGTAGCGTCCGATCGCTCCGATCGCGCGTCGCGATGACCGTTCGTAGCGTCCGATCGCTCGCCCCGCCGCGCTCCTTCACGCCGTGGGATTGTCCAGCCAACGCCACGAGGCACATGGCCTCGTGGGCGGACGACCGACCGCGGCTGTCGCCGCGACGTCGGGCAGCCCGCAGTCGTTCGCAGGGGGACAAATGGCGTAAATGAAAGAGACGTATAGGCAAGTTCGCAGGGAAGAGACGTATAGGCAAGTTGTTCCAAATAGCCACTGTGCTGGACTTTCCGATGCAGTGTCGATTGAGAACCAAAAACCATGGTCTTCGTCCAAACCATGTGCACCCCGCTGATGGTTCGTTGCATCATCTGCAGGCTTCGGGATCCAGTCGTACCTTCTCAGAAGCTAATTGCCCTAAGGATCAAGGACCCTCAAAGGTGAAGGTTTTGACGGTCCAAACCCCTGCTATGCAGGGTCAAAACCCTCCATAGCAAGGGCTAATGATCCTTAGGGTGGAGACACTGTTATGTCGGTGCCAGGAGGGTCCAGTCGTACCGAACCCGAAAAAGTACTTGGATCTGGATCTTTGCGGCGTTGAGATGTGTGACACGTCCGGTGAAACGACCTGACCTAAGCGCTTGGCATCAACGTACACCAATCTTTGCCGATTTTTTCGACCCAATTGGACAAAGCATACACCAACAATCTAGGAACAACGGCTATGCCGAACGGGGAAGCAAGACTGCATGATGCACCCTAAGAATCCTTGGGCTCTCCATGGCAGGGGCCGGACCCGACACCTTAGCAGGGGTCCGGGCCCGAACCAAACCCTATGTGTTTCAAAGCCCGGATTCTTAGGGCTTAATTTGTGGTCTTGCAGCTTTGCTCCTAAACTCCTTGATGCGGTAACAGCCCGGTCAAACCAAGGGCTGTTTGACGACGTCATATGTTTCCTCTTTGATCGTATTCTGCCACAGGGTGACAGAGAACATCGACAAAAACAACGCCCGATCAGCTTTCAGCCCAGTGTTTGTTTCATGTCCGACTATCCCAAACACTCTATGTGGACTGCCATAGGACTGCCGAGAGTTCCGGCCAGGGGTGGTGCCAGGGGGGGTCGGACTATTGGTCCGAACCTTATCCAAAGACCTCACGGGGTTCCCACGGGCGGAAAATGGGGTGGGTGGGAAGCCTCTGGGGGGGTTGAAGCGGAGGATACACCCTACCCAAACGCTCCGTGAACGACGCCCGACTCCCTCAAAACCTATCGGGTCCAGACCCACTTCCAGACCCCTGACCAGTTCGGATTCGGGTCCGATCCCTCCAAAGGATTCGGGTCCAGACTTCGTGTCTGGGGAGGGTTCGGCACTCCAGGAGTTCACTCCAGGAGAACCAGGCTGGGTGGGAAGTCCCATCCAACTCCGGCCATGGATGTGATCGTGAGATAGGGCACCCCGGAGTTCCTCAACTTCCTCCCTGACTCCATATGGTGCGGACCCATGCGACTCCACTCCTTATATACGTGTCCGGGCCGACTACAGGTACAGTCCCAGGGCATCCAGGTACCACTATACCTGGTAACCAGTGGTTCCAAAGACTAAAACCATAGTTCCTTATATAGTGGTAACTAGGATGCACTGGGAGTGGTTTCAGAGTAGATGGCACAATTAAAAGAGAAACGAACTCGTACGGGTGTGGACTGCACAGGCATCGGCCTGCAGCGCACACCCCTGCCCTGTCCACCCAGCAGCCAGGAACATACTCCTTCGGGCACGGGGCAATGACAGCATGCACCGGGTCGTTCTCCACCGTGATGACCTGGATTGAGTTGAGGACGACCGACGATGAGAGACCCATTGACGCGCACAATGCTATATACTTCACGGTGCGCACCTTTCACTTGGTGTTTATGAGAAGTCTTTTCTGACACCAGCAGTTTCCACGAAATCCGGGACAACCTCTTTCCGCATCTGTTCATAAATTCGTTGGGAAATGATGGAAATGAATCCCCCATTTCAAGGTTGTCAGGTGATCCACTTTTCCCTGACTAGGCCATTCACCATCCACTCATATCCACTCTGATCAGGGCTGGCCATGAGTTTCTTGACCACTTCCTTTCGCTTCCTCTTCCGCTGAAGCACTGGCCGATGCATTCTCCAATGCCTCACGGCTCGCGGTGAACGAACCCTCACGGCTCGACCCGACTGCAAGCACGAAAGTGAGACATGGCCCCTAAGCGCGACAAATACAGGACATGTACATACTCCCTATAAAGATCCACATACCCTCTCAGGTACGGTGATGTGTTCGACACTGTGATGTGGGTTTGGAGGGACTTGTACGATCAACTGAGAAGGAGACCCGCGCTCGACCCAGAAATCGATGTTTGGTATGACCCTTTTTCGCTCCGTTATCACGAGGCCCACACCGATCGGGATTGGTGAGAGTCTCCCCACCCCTGAGCTCGAGGATCCGGGTCCGTCCGGCGATCTGATGTTCACCCAAAGACTGTCCCCTATGGATCCACATACCTTCTCAGGTACGGTGATTGGAGACTATTTATGTACCCTAAGGATCCGAACGGACCCTCCATGGCAAGGGGTCGAACCCTCTAGTTCACAAGGGTTTGTACCGTCATGTGCCCTCAAAACCCTTGTTTTTGTTTCGGGTGCGGAATCCTTAGGGTAGGCGCCAGCCAGTCAGGCCCAGGTCGGTACGGTGGCAGTGGATCCCTAGAAGTCGTATGCCGCACCTAGACGACCTGAGGGGTGGCCTAGCGGATTTTCTGGACACCCCCAAAATCCCCCGACCCAGTCCGCAGGGTGTGCCCTGTGCCCAAATCCTTATGTCCCTAAATAGATAGTGACACGGATTGAAATTCTTAGTGGGAATCTGCTTGTCTATCTATTTCGGGGGTCTCATCTGCAAAAACACATTGATTCTTCGGGAGTCCGGGCCATAGACACTCCATGGGACTGGCATATTCACATAATTACATTGACCCCTTTTCAATCATAATTGATCGGTCCATATGCCAGCCCACTAGAATCAGTGCCATGGGTTTCAATCAGTGCCATGACCCAAACGCTCCATGGGACTGCCATATATGCCGATCAATTGACCCCCCACACCACCCCAACTGATCGGCATCTATGGCAGTCCCATGGAGTCTATGGATGAGAAAAGCAACCAAAACACCGGCCGAACCTCACCCCCAAAACCGCCGTCTCGACCGGAGAGACTGGCGCCTCACAGAGCCTCGGTGCTAAGAAGGGAGAAGCGCCGAGCAACGCGGAGCCGCGTGGAGCGTGACGTGACCGCCCCTTTGGTTCGGTCCCGAAGCAAAGCATCCGGGATGGGTGAGAACCTTTTTTGAACCGCCCGGACGTGAAGCAAAGCATCCGGGATCTGAGGACTTGGGGATCCCTCCTTCGGTTCGGGAACGGGTCGGCGGAAAAAGCAAGGGCAAAACACTTGAGGAGCTGTCATGGGTAAAGGAAACACCATTTAGGAATGGAAGATGGATGGGTTCGCGCCGGAACCAGGAGTCGGGCGCCCAACACGCCGGTTCGGTTCGCGCCGGAACCGGGGGTAAAAACCGGCATGTCACATCCACGGCGGCCGCGGCCACACCACCCTGGCCTCCATGTGACTCCTGGTTCGTGAGTAGTTCAGGCACAGGTCGAAATCTCCCAAACGAGTTCCGGAAGCCCTCCACCCATTGCGAATTCCGCACCCGAAACAAAACAAGGGTTTGGTTCGGGTACATGAGGGGCCCCAAACCCTTGTGAACTAGAGGGTTCGACCCCTTCTAAGGAGGGTCCGGACTCGGATCCTTAGGGTAACACAGGGGATCCAGTCGTACCGAACCTCAGGTACACTGAGCAGGGAGACACTCTTATTTGCCGGTGCCCAGTCGGGACCAGGCCTGGACCCAAACCTGAGGTTCGATACGAAAACGGATCCCTATAGGGATGACCTGAGGTTCGCCCCCGCCCACACAACGCACATGGATTCTCAAGCGTTAGGACCGACACGAAGTTTCGACGGTTTTGGTGCGCCGAGAACGTTGAGAACGACCCGGCCAAAGCGAGCGCTGTATCAACATCGTGTGAGAGACGGCAGCATGTCGTGCTATGTCCGCAGGGCCACTGGAGAGAGCGGTGATCTCTGTGTGGATCAGTGGGGTGGGGAGTTCATGAGGTTGCTACGGCAACGACGCTGCATGGATCACATGCTGTGATGCAATTTATATGGTCATCTACCCTAGGAATCATTGGACCCGACCACTTCTGGAGGGTTTTGACCCTGCAGAACGCAGGGGTTTGGAACAAAAACCTTCACCGAACCGAGGGTCCTTGATTCTTAGGGTAACACATATTGTCATCATGGATAGGTTTTACATGGTTTTACGGGATGTATATACTCGTCGCTGATGGTAATCGTTGTCTACATCTTGAGCTCCGTTGTGTTTTTCTTGTATCCCTAGGGCTCCTGGCCTACCTCTTGAGGTGGTTAGGGTAAGTTTGGGGGGTTTAACATGGTTTAACAATGGTTCAACCACCTTCTGACCCTAGGGATCCAGTCGTACTTCTCAGAAGGCACGACTGGACCCTCCTGGCACCCACCCCAGTCCCACCTTCTGAGAAGGTACGACTGGATCCCTAGGGTGAGAATATGGATGGAGCCCGTAGGGGACATCTGTTGCCTCTTCTGGACTGTGGCCATCCCGCGGAGCGAAACATGTTGTCAAAGAGAGTTGATGGGATCTTACGTGCTCACACGTGCGGGCGCAAGTCCCTAGGGCCGGGTCTGGAAATGAAGCCACCATCACTTGGTGTGGAAACAACAAAAAGAAGGAAACACCATCTGTGTCACTGGGATCCAAGTACCTTCTCAGTCAGAAGGTGGGACTGGGGTGGGTGCCAGGAGGGTCCAGTCCCACCTTCTGAGAAGGTACGACTGGATCCCTAGGGTGAGAATATGGATGGAGCCCATAGGGGACATCTGTTGCCTCTTCTGGACTGTGGCCATCCCGCGGAGCGAAACATGTTGTCAAAGAGAGTTGATGGGATCTTACGTGCTCACACGTGCGGGCGCAAGTCCCTAGGGCCGGGTCTGGAAATGAAGCCACCATCACTTGGTGTGGAAACAACAAAAAGAAGGAAACACCATCTGTGTCACTGGGATCCAGTCGTACCGAACCTCAGGTTCGGTGGGACTGGGGTGGGTGCCATGTTCGGGTCCAGTCGTGCCGTACCTGAGGTTCGGTACGACTGGATCCCTAGGGAGTGATTTCTGCATGCCATTTCAGCTTCAAGAAGGGTGAAATAAGGCGTCTTGGAATGTCTGGCGCTTGCCGAAGCGAAACATGTTGCCGAAGCACCAATATCATCAAAAGCACAGGTTCAGGAAACATATCCCACAAAGTACCACGTCAAGCAATCCCATGTTTGTTAGTCAGGCTCTTTCTTCGTCGGCTCACCCAAACACTCCATGTATGGAATATATGTAGCTACCCCCATGAGACCACCCCAATGTGATCCAATGTGCATTTTTGTGGGTTAAACATTCACAGAGTGGGTCATCTTCGCCGAAATCACCACGGCCGAGGTCTGCTCAGCCCAAGTCTGCTCATCCTCGCCCCCTCCGACTGGGTCATCTTCGTCCCGGCGGCCGCAAGGCGGAGTAGCCGCAATAGGTGCCCAACTCCAAGATCTCGCGAGGCAAATCCGTGGAGAGGAACCAAAGATGTATCGCAAGTTATTGATAAAGGAAACCAGCATGGTCCAAATCATGCATCCAAGTGCCTTCTCATGCTTGGTAAGCAGGGAGACTCTGTTCTTTGCCGGTCAGCCAGTCAGGTCCAGTCGTAGAAGAACACACTCCATCCATCCTAAACCATGTAGAAAATGCCCATATGGATCCACTGCCACCTTCGGTACGGTACGGTGATTGATGTGTTTGACACTGGAGACTGTAGTACGGTGCCAGGAGGGCCAGTCAATCCCAGCGCCTTTTGAGATGAATTTGTGCCATCGAACATCTGAAAGTACTTACCCCTAGGGCTCCAACCATATCCTCAGCAGGTGGTTAGACTCCAAATGCTTTACTGACAAACTAGCTCCAACTAGCTCCTGAGAAGGTGGTTGGGGTGGGTCTGGAGGGTCTAAACGCCGAACCTGAGGATATGGGGCGTTCGGAGCCCTAGGGTTATATACTATGTGCCAGATGCCAAGTAGTCTTGGAATGTGAACCTGGACGCGTGTACATGGCACATGATCACGACCGCCATGAAAAAACAACAACATGAATTCAACGAAAAAATATATGAATTGTATATATACCCTATAGAAGTCCAAAGACTATATTTTGACCGGCTGAAGTAAAGGAAGTTCCCTTTCAGATCCCCTAAAGACCATTCTTTTTATAGTCTTTGACTCCCAGGGTCTATCCTAAAACCAGTACCAGTGGATGATGGTCAGTGCCCAATTGAGTTTGTTTACCGACCGTTACAACTGTTACAGGTCAGTTCGGGCAGACCCCCCACAGGTTCCGAGGAACTGTCGGTCGACCCTATAGGGTCAAACGGATGTGCCAGTGAAAGCGGATCTGGGATGTCCATCTGACTTGAACCCCTAGGGATCCAGGGTCCAGGACCATCCGAGCAGCTCGGATGTCCTGCCAGAACCCCCGGCAACGACCATTCTCTGGAAGTACTCACCTTCGTTCGACCATCCGAAAAGGAGGTACCTGGACCCTATGGGCTAGGGACTCGTTTTCGTACCGAACCTCAGGGGTGACGTGTTCGACACTGGAGACTGTAGAGAGGGTACGACTGGATGCCTATAGGGAACATGGTTCCAAAGCAAAGGAACACGACACCTCGACCGGGTCAAGCGCGTCGACCGGGTCTGGAAATGAAGCCACCATCACTTGGTGTGGAAACAACAAAAAGAAGGAAACACCATCTGTGTCACTGGGATCCAAGTACCTTCTCAGAAGGTGTTTGGGGTGGGTGCCAGGAGGGTCCAAGTGCCTTCTGAGAAGGTACGACTGGATCCCTAGGGTGTGTCACTGGGATCAGTTGAACCCTAAGGGTCCTTGGACCCTCCATGGCGTTCGGGGTCGAACCCTCTAGTTCACAAGGGTGACAGGGGCCC